CAGCCGCCCAGGCCGCCCACAGCCAGGTACAGCGCGGGCGCCACGCCGGCCGCGCCCAGCAGCGCCAGCGAGCCGCCGGCGACGCAGGTCGGCAGCAGCAGGCCCCGCCGCGGCTCCTCCTGGGAGCGCGGCGGCGGGAGCGGGAGGACTTCTTGCCCTCCCACCGCGCCCGAGCCCGAGCCCGAGCCGCATCCCGACCTCCTCCTCCTCCTCCTCCTCCTCCTCCTCCTCCTCCTCCTCCTCCTCCTCCTCCTCCTCCTCCGCCTCTCTCTCCTCCTCCTCCTCCTCCTCCTCCTCCTTCTCCTCCTCCCTCCCCTCCGCCGCCCAAGCCCGAGCCAGAGCCCGAGACCGAGCCCGAGCCCGAGCCCGCGCTCGCGCTCGAGCCCGCGCTCGCGCTCGAGCCCGAGCCCGCACGTTTTGCTGTGGCGGACCCGGCGCCCGCGCGGGTCGGTCGGGCAGGCACTGGACTGCTGTGCAGCACTGGTGCACTGTGAGAGAAACTGATGCAACGCACTGCCTTCACAAACACGCTCCTCCTCGGTTTCCCTGCTCCTCGCTCTCCAACTCGCTCTCCTCTTCCCCCTCCCTGTCGCACCCCGAGGCGTGTTTGTAGGGCGTGCAGGGCGTTTCGCCTGAGAATTACCCACCACTTATGATCCTTACGGATGGAGGGCGGACCGTTTTCCAAATTAAGCTCTCGCCTCACCGCCGCGCACATGTTTCTTATAATTTGCAGCGAGCTTCGGCCAGGGCGGATGGTTTACAGCATGTGGCTCCGGCCTCAGCGTCGTGCATCTTCGTTCTCAACGTCCAAGAGCTCCACGGACGGAGGACATACGCTGATCCCCGGAACTGTTTGTCCGACACCATTCGTTCAAGATCGCCAAGACGCATCATTAGCGGTGATTCGCGGCGTTGAAGTCCCAGGGATAATGCTCTGGCACAGTTCAGGATTATCAAACGTTTGTCTTCCACCGGGGACTTCCCCCAGTGGGAGTGAAGATGTGTTGGGGCGTATGAGGGGACTTGAAGGGAGGGTGTATCGCAACATCGTTGCTGAGTCTTGGGTTTGCACTGATCCAACTCCTCCTACTCCTCCTCCTCCTCCTCCTCCCCGTCCTCCTCCTCCTCCTCCTCCTCCTCCTCCTCCTCCTCCTCCTTTTCCTCACTCTTCCTCCTCCTCCTCCTCACTCCTCACTCACTCCTCACTCCTCACTCCTCACTCTCCTCCTCCTCCTCCTCCTCCTCCTCCTCCTCCTCCTCCTCCTCCTCCGCCTCCTCCCTCCTCCTCCATCCTCCCTCCGATATTGCTTCTGCTTGTGGCGGCACTCCGATCGGAGCCAGGAGGGGGGATGGGAGGGGATGGGCGAGGAGCCCCTCCTGCCAGAGTGTGACGCTGTCGTTGCCTGGGCGGGGGGGGGGCGCGACCGTGGCCCCCGCCCTCCCCCCACCCATCCCGCAGAGGGGGCCGGCGGCCGCAGGAGAGCCCGTGCTAGAACCGATGCTCGGCGGCCTGGGATTTGGGCACCAGCACCCACACTCCCCCCTCCTCCTCCTCCTCCTCCTCCTCCTCCTCCTCCTCCTCCTCCTCCTCCTCCTCCTCCTCCCCTTCCTCCTCCTCCTCCTCCTCCTCCTCCTCCGCCTCCTCCTCCTCATTATCCCGCAGAGGAGGCTCGAATCGATGCTTGGCGGCCAGGAAGTGGGCTTGGCTCGAATGGGTGCTTTGGGGATTGCCTCCACAGGGGGAGGTTGATCCTGGACTTCGGTGTCGGTGGTAATGCTTCGGTCGCCCTGGAAGCCAGACTACTACCACCATCACCGACATCGGGATCGTCCTCCCTCGGCGGAGGCACACCGCCGATATTGGTGTTGGTGTTAACCTCTAAAGGCCTGCGAGATTTGTCGGATCGGCGATCCAAATGAAACGGACTGACGGAAATCGGCGCAGGCTGGGAGACCTCCAGCGAGAAATCGGAAGCCACATCGGAGCCCAGAATCGAACGGAGTGGGAATCGGAAGCCGTCAAAATCGAGCGGAATCAAGTCGGAGGCGTCGATATGAGCACTGGAGAGGTGTGTGGGGGGGTGTCTGGACGTGGGCTGGCGTCGAGAGCTGACTCCCTCGGTGGGGCGGAGGCCGCAGGCGCGCGCGACGGGGTGGTGGCGGAAACGGGGGCGAAGGCCGACGGCCTGGGCGGCGGCAGAGGCCAGAGAGGGCGGGAGGGGAGAAAGGACGGGGAACGAACGCACGACCACCAGTGCGGGCGGCACTCTGGGCCTGCTCGAGACCAGGCGAGTGAGGCCGTGGCCTCGGCATACCATGGTGCATGGTGAGGCATGCATGCGAGGGACTTTAAACAAAGTATCCCAGTGCGACCCTACCTAGGAGTTGGAGCCTCTAGGAAAGCAACATTAGTAGGAGCGGTGAACGCCGTCCTCCTCCTTCTCCTCATCGTCGTCGTTGTAGAAGTAGCGGTAGTAGTAGTAGTAGTAGTAGTAGTAGTAGTAGTAGTAGTAGTAGTAGTAGTAGTAGTAGTAGTAGTAGTAGTAGTAGTAGTAGTAGTAGTAGTAGTAGTAGTAGTAGTAGTAGTAGTAGTAGTAGTAGTAGTAGTAGTAGTAGTAGTAGTAGTAGTAGTAGTAGTAGTAGTAGTAGTAGTAGTAGTAGTAGTAGTAGTAGTAGTAGTAGTAGTAGTAGTAGTAGTAGTAGTAGTAGTAGTAGTAGTAGTAGTAGTAGTAGTAGTAGTAGTAGTAGTAGTAGTAGTAGTAGTAGTAGTAGTAGTAGTAGTAGTAGTAGTAGTAGTAGTAGTAGTTAGTAGTAGTAGTAGTAGTAGTAGTAGTAGTAGTAGTAGTAGTAGTAGTAGTAGTAGTAGTAGTAGTAGTAGTAGTAGTAGTAGTAGTAGTAGTAGTAGTAGTAGTAGTAGTAGTAGTCGTAGTAGTAGTAGTAGTAGTAGTAGTAGTAGTAGTAGTAGTAGTAGTAGTAGTAGTAGTAGTAGTAGTAGTAGTAGTACGTAGTAGTAGTAGTAGTAGTAGTAGTAGTAGTAGTAGTAGTAGTAGTAGTAGTAGTAGTAGTAGTAGTAGTAGTAGTACTAGTAGCAGTAGTAGTAGCGCCAGAACCGCCGACGCCATACAGTAAGCTATGCTATGCTATGCTATGCTGCGCAATGCTCTGCGGGGCTAGGCTAGGCTAGGTTATGCTATGCTATGTTATGCTGCGCTATGCTATGCTGCGCTATGCTATGCTGCGCTATGCTTTGCTTTGCCTTCGCTTTTGCCTTCACTTTTGCCTTTGCTTTTGCTTTTGCTTGGCACCCAGGGAGCGCAACTGGGGGAACCGCGCGTTTGCTTTTACCTTTGCTGTTGCTTTTGCCGGGGGAACCGCCCGGGGCGGTTGACACTGCCCGGCCCCTTTAAGCCAAGACAGTAAGAACCCTTCTAGGCAGAGCCTAGGTAGGGAACAACTATGCTAGACGGAGGAGGGGAGGAGGGGGATGCGTTCTTGATGTCGGAGCCGTCATGTGCCGGTGGTGCCCTGCTGAGGAGGATGCGGAGGAGGCGCTGGAGGACCAGCAGAGGAGGTGGGGAGGGAGGGCGGGTCGGCAGGACGCGGCATCGCAGCATCCGGTGTGCCGATCAAGGTCAGACTCGCATGCCCCGAAGGGCCACGACAGCCACACGCTGCGCGACTCTCCCCGCCCGCCCCCCGAGGTGAAACGCGGGGCGCCCCAGCCGCGAGCCCGACGCCGGTGGTTAGCGGGGTGTGCGGGATGACGCCAGCCAGTAGAGAACAGCAAACACCTAACGGGACAGCCCTTCGGATGCAACATGGGTCCGCCCTGAGATCGGCCTGACAGCCGGATGTTTGGCCCTCCAACCCACCCAAATGGTCACACAGACTTCTGAGCAACCGCCCCCCCGCAGACCAGAATGAGAAGAGAGACATATGCATATATATATATATATACATATACATACATATATACACACACACCTATACGACCACCCTTCGGGTGAGGGGGGGGACCCAACACCTGACTCAATCGATCTCACTATCGATCTCACTCAATGGGACACCACGAAACACCACGGGGCACCTGTCGATCTCACTATCGATCTCACGATCGATCTCATTCAACGGGACACCACCGGTTACCACAGGACACCACGGGACACCACGGGACACCTCTCGATCTCACTACCGGTCTCACTATCGAACTCACTCTCGATCTCACTCAACGGGACACCACGGGACACCACGGGACCCCTCCGGACACCACACCGATCTCACTCTCGATGTCACTATCGATCTCACTCGACGGGACACCACACGGGACACCACGGGACACCACGGGACACCGCCCCGGGAGCGGCAAGGGTGCATTCCTCTCGCGCGCCCACGCAGCGTCGCCCCGCCCGCACGCGCGACACGAACGAAACGAGACGATGTCCCAGTTGGGGGTCTCCGTTCCACTGCGATCTCACCCCCCAGCCTTCGATATATGTATACATACATACATACATACATACATACATACATACAGACAGACAGACAGACAGACAGACAGACAGACAGACAGACAGACAGACAGACAGACATACGCATGCATGCATGCATGCATGCATACCTACCTACCTACCTACCTACTTACCTACATAAATACATACATACATACATACATACACACATACTATAACCATCGCGCGCGCTTGGCGCGCGCTCAGACTCTAGCAGGCCCCAAACTTTGACGCGTGGACCACAGATGGTTTGAACGGGAAGTGAAGAAATGCCCATAACGCTGAACGCATTATGGGCAATGCGAAGTCCATGCGTGTCTATCCGAATTCCAGAAGGCTTTCGGGGAAGATGGTTGCGCAGGGGGGCGGAGGCCTGATGAATCGGGTTCCCAGAAGGCGTTCTGGGAACATGGGTTTGGGGGGCGTATTGGGGAACCTCTTGGGCCGTGCCGTAGTCGTTCTAATGTCGTCGGCGCCTCTTGAGGCGCGCCGTCGTCGTCGTCGTCGTCGTCGTCGTCGTCGGTCGTCGTCGTCGTCGTCCTCGTCTTCGTCGCTTCGTCGTCTTTGACGTCTTCGTCGTCGTCGGTTCAAAGAGGCACTTGGGGCAACTTTGTGCGAAACGATCTGCGGAATGCCGCGAGAAGGCGATCATGTTCCCAGTCAACTTCCCAAACAACTCTCCCGTAGCGAGGTGGTACTTCGGAGCCTCTGGAGACTCTCGGGCCCATGATGAGCCATGTCCCTGAAAGGCTTTCTGGGTACATGATTAGTTTGGGTGTGTTGGGGGGCGTCTTGGGCGTTCCCTGGGAGCCCCTTGAGGCTTTCTGGGGGCCTCTTGGGGAACTCAACGGGGCTTCGTGGGAGCCTCTTGGTGGCCTCCGGGGGCCTGCTGGGAGCCTCTAGTGCCAGAGACTTCGAAATATCAGTTCGCGGTCCCCCTCTGGGCCCCCTCTTGGGGCACACTCGGATTGTCTGGGGAGCCTCCTGGGCTGTCTCGGGGCCCTCTTCGGGGCCTCGTGGGCCGTCTTGGAGCGATCTGAAGGGCCTCCGAGGCCGTGAGGGAGCGCTGGGAAGCGGGAAAAACGAGAACGCGAAAATCTGGCAAAAAACATAGAAAAATACATGCATTTTGCTTACCAGGGCCTTCTTGGGGAGCCTCTTGAGTCCGCCCTGGAGCGCGTTGGAGTCCTCGTCGGCCGTCTTGAAGGCATCTTGGGTGTCTTCGCGGCCTCTTGGGACCGTCTTGGGCCCTCTTGGGACCCACTTGGCCTGTCGTGGCCTGTTTCGGGGCGGGCCTGGGCCGCCTCGGGAGCTCTGGGACCCCCTCAGAACCCCCCCGAGGGCGCACATGGATGGTACAAGCAGCGGCCGGCCCCGAATCCGGCCTACTCCGATATCGATATCGATATATATATATATATATATATATATTATATATATATATATATATATATATGTGTGTGTGTGTGTGTTTGTGTATGTGTGTACATATATGGATATATATATATATATACACACACGCACACCTATACGACCACCCTCCGGGTGATAAGGAGGTTGTGGGGGGGGAGAGAGAGGGGGAACCAAAACCTGACTCAATCGATCTCACTATCGATCTCACTCTTCGGGACACCACGGGACACCACGAGACACTTGTCGATCTCACTATCGTTCTCACTCAACGGGACACCACGGGACACCACGGGACACCGCGGGACACCTCTCGATCTTACTATCGGTCTCAATATCGATCTCACTCTCGATCTCACTCAACGGGACCCCACGGGACACCACGGGACCCCTCTGGACACCACATCGATCTCACTATCGATCTCACTCAACGGGACACCACGGGACACCACGAGACATCTGTCAATCTCACTATCGATCTCACTATCAATCTCACTCTACGGAACACCACGGGGCATCTCGGAACACCACATCGATCTCAATATCGATCTCACTATCGATCTCACTCAACGGCGCACCACGGGACACCACGGGACACGGCGGGACACCGCGAGCCACCGCCGGACGGACGGACGGACGGGCGGGCGGGGGAGAATCATTTGTCTTGACCTCGCCCTAGCAACGGCGGACACCACGGGACACCACGGGACACCACGGGACACCGCAGGACACCGCGAGCCATCGCCGGACGGACGGACGGACGGGGGATAATCATTTGTCTTGACTGCGCCCTAGCAGCGGCGGGTCCATTCCTCTCGCCCGCCCACGCAGCTTCGCCTCGCCCGCGCGCGCGACACGAACGAAACGAAACGATTTCCCGGTTGGGGGTCTCCGTTCCACTGCGATCTCAACCTCCAACCTCCGACAGATCGATATATTTTATATATGTGTAAAACTATAAACACATACATATGTATACATGTATAGATATGTATATGCATATATGGTTGTATGTAAACGTATGTATGTGTATATATATATATAAACATCTATAGACATATATACTTAGAGGCCTCCCGATGGCGTCTTCGAAGCAGTTCGGTAGCCTCCTGGGATCCTTCCGGGGGCCTCCTGCAGGCCTGTTGGGAGCCTCATGGGGGTCTCTTGGGGGACCCGTGGGGCCTCTTGGGGGCCTCTTAGGGCATCCTGGGGACCTCTTGGAGCCTCCTGGGAGGCTGTGGGGCCGAAAGCTTAGAGTGGGAATATGGTTTCCCACCTCTGGGGTCCCTCTGGGGCGCGTCCTGCGGCTCGCTTGGGCGGTCTTCTGGGGCCTCTCGGGCCGTCTTGGGACCCTCTTGGGTCGTTTTGTAGCCCTCTTGTGAGCCTGTGGGGCAATATTGGGGGCCTCTTGGGCACTGTGAAAGCCAATGAAGTATATTTGCGAAAAATGTACCTTTGCTCTTGGAGCCCTCCTGGGGGGCCTCTGGGAGCGTCACACGAGGCGTCTGGGAGACCTCTTAGGGTGTCCTGGGGCCATTTCGTGCGTCTCCGAACGGTTCGCGCGTTTTGGAACGGCCTGTGGGGCGTCGCGGGTCCCTCTTGGCGCGTCCTCGGGCCCTCTTGGCGTTTTCAACTGGCGTGTCGTGGGTCTCTGTGGTCCCCCAAGACACACACGCACACACACACGCACACACACGCACACACACACACACGCACACGCGCACACGCGCACACGCGCACACGCGCGCACGCGCACACGCGCACACGCGCACACGCGCACACGCGCACACGCGCACACGCGCACACGAGCACACGCGCACACGCGTACAAGCGCACACGCGCACACGCGCACACGCGCACACGCGCACACGCGCGCACGCGCACGCGCACGCGCACGCGCACGCGCACGCGCACGCGCACACGCACACGCACACGCAAACGCACACGCACACGCACACGCACACGCACACGCACACGCACACCGCACACCGCACACCGCACACGCACACGCACACGCACACGCACACGCACACGCACACGCACACGCACACGCACACGCACACCCCCACACACACAGAGGCCATGTTGGACGCTGTGAAAGCCAAAAAGGCATATGAGCGAAAATATGTACGTTTCCCTACGGGGATGGAATGGATGTTGCCTCTTGGGGCCCTCCTAGGAGCCTCCTGGAGGCATCCTGGGGGCCTCCTGGGGGTCTCCTGAGGCCCCCTTGGACACCGCAGGTCTCGAGGTCAAGCTCCGCCTGAGGGGCAGCAACATCCCGCGCGGCCCGCGGGCTCTTGGACGCTACGAAGTAGTCCAGGACGGACCCCGAGCCTTGCCTGCAAGTGCGCCCCAGCGGCTGCGCGACCGCCCCGTCGAGCTTTGCCACCCAGCCGAAGTCGAGGGCATCGGCTTCGACCTCCCATCGCCACCCAAAGGCGCCCCGACGCCTCCAAGTCCCCGAGGAACTGGGCCAGGTGCCTGACTATGGCGAGGTTGTCCGCGGGTAGGCCCCCCATCACGCAGGCGCAGTCTGATGGCGACAACTCCTCCGAGGGCCCCGCACGCGTGCAAGGGGTCGGCCTGGGATCGGCTCAGGGCAGGTTCTGGGTGGAGGGGGTGTGATCTGCACAAGGAGCAGCGCCAGCGCAGCACCCCCACCTTGCGTGCCCTTCGCCGTCTCTGCCGCGGCCGTTGCCGCACTCCACAAACCGCGCAACCCTGCGTCCTTGAACGCCCGCTGCTGCGCCGCCAAGGCGGTCTCTAGCCGATGGTGCTCCTGGACGGCCGCCGCCAACGTCTCGCTGCCGTCGATGAGGGTTTAGGTAGTCGCCTAAAGGGCCCCTGGAGGTGGCGTTGACCGTGGTGGGGCGGCAGCCGCGGCCAAGCTGCCCCACGGGCGATCTCACGCTGGCGCGCTCCGCCCCCCTGCCGCGGCCGGCAGCTGCCGCCGCGGGGCCGCCGCCAATTGACGCTGCAGGGGCTGCTGCTGCTGCTGCTGCTGCTGCTGCTGCGGCTGAACTCATGTCGCACCCGCGCGACTTGCGAGACGGGAGACAGGGGCTACAAAGTCGAGGGGCCGAAACCCTCCGCCCCCATCTCTGGGCCGTGCCCTGAGGCCGCCACCCCGGCAGGCCCCGCAGGTTCCCTGCCCTCGGACATCCAGGGGCCGCACCCATGAAAGCAGAACGCCCCAGCCACCCCGCGTTGGGTCTGGCCCCGCCCACCCCTGCACTCCTGATCGGCAGCAGCAACTTCTGCACCTCGCCCATCCGCAGGTCGCCGTGGGCCGCGCCCTGAGGCCGCCGCCCCGGTCGGCCCCCTGGGGCCCGCGCCGTCTGACATCGCGGGGCCGCGCCCTTGACGGCCGAGCGCCCCGTCCACCCCCCGATGGGGACTGGCTACCTCCATCACCACCCCAGTGATCTGCTGCAGTGCCGTCGCCGACTCGCCCTCCAGCAGGGCGTGCAGGGCCGCGCCCTGGGGCCGACGTCTGCGGCTGCCTCTCGTGGCGCCCCGCGAGGCCAATGTGCTCTGACATTCTGGGGCCGCGCCCTTGATGGCCGAACGCCCCAGTCGGCCCGACGCGGGCCCGACCCCCCTCCCAGCCGCCAGCGGGGAAGCCCCCCAAGGCGCCACTCCTGAGGTTGCCCATCCAGATGTCGCGGCGGCCTGCCCCTCGGCATCGTTCAGCTCGCTGCGCCGCGCCGCTCCGTAATGGTCATCGCGGACGCCGGTCATAGCGCCCACGCTGCCCGCGGGCCCTCTTCAGCTGCTTCTTCAGAGGCGACGCGCCGGGGTCGTCGAAGAAGCGCTTGTAGGCTGCGCGCGCCGCATCATCAGGAGGCCACTCAGCCCCTTCCTCGGCGTCAGGCGCATGCCCAGCCTTCTTGAGGATCGCGCGCTGGTTGGCGGCATTGAGCTCTTCGTCACCAATGAAGTCGTCGCCCGCCTCCCTCGGTCGGCCGTCGCCCTCACTGGCCGCGGGCTCTCGCCCCTGGCCAGGCGCGGCCGCAGCTCTGCGTTCAGCCGCGGCAGCCTCCGCAGCCCGCGCCTCGGAGGCGACCTGCTTCTCGCGCTCGCTGGCCTGCCTGAGCACAGCCTCCGTCAGCTCCTGCCCCGCCGCGAAGCACCCCGGGAGCTTCCCCGGGGCCTCCGCCGCGACGCGCTGGTCGCCGGCCTCCGCGACGCCACGTGCTGCGCCACAAAGCTCCTTCTCGCCGCCCGCGTCCGCCCAAGCCTGCGGCGCCGCAAGCTTCTTCTCCGCGACCTCGAGGCGCTGCTTCTCTGGCGAGGGCGCGCGCCAATGAGCCGCAGTCGCCGCCCCGCCAGCGGGCGCGGCCCCTGCGGCCCGCGGATCCTGCTCGGCCCCCGCCCCGAACTTCTCAATGCGCTCCATGACTTGGGCGAGCCGCCCCATGTCGCTGAGCCCCACCAGCTTCGCTGGCGCGCCCCCTGCTGGCTTGCCTCCAAAGACGGCGGCCTTGGGGTGGTTGCGCCACTTGCGCTGCGGCCTCCCACCGAAGTTGGATTTTCTTGAAGCCGCCAGCGCCTGGCTTGCTGCGCGTCTCGCAGACCCAGGGTGGACGACTGCTGGCCCGGCAGGCAGCACCAGCGCCCAGCGACCTCGGTCCCCCCCCCCCGCAGGCATGGCGCCCTGGCCGCGGCCTCGGCCCCCTCGCCACGCCCCGCCATTGCTGCCGCCTTCGGTGCGAAGGCACCCGCGCGAGCAATGCGAACAGGAGGAGGAGGGCCGCCGCGCGCCACGGCCGGGCACTAGTAGTCGGAAGAGAAGACTTCTGGGCCAAAGCGCGAGACCCCTCGCGCTCAGGCGTCGCCCGCCATGGACTTGCGGTCGTCGGGTGTCTCATGGCCTTGAGCCAAAATGGCCGCGGAACTCTCTCTCTCTCTCTCGCACTTACTTCCTCTCTCTGTCTCTCTCTCTCTCTCTCTCTCTTTTTCTCTCTCTCTCTCTCTCTCTCTATCTCTCTATCTCGCACTTGCTCCCTCTCTCTCTCTCTTTCTCTCTCTCTCTCTCTCTCTCTCTCTCTCGCTCTCTCTCTCTCTCTCTCTCTCTCTCTCTTTCTCTCTTTCTCTCTCTCTCTCTCTCTCTCTCTCTCTCTCTCCATCTCTCTCTCTCTATCTCTCTTTTTTTCTATTTCCCTCGTTCTCTCTCTCTCTCTCCTCTCTCTCTCTCTCTCTCTCTCCCTCCATTTATATATGTATATGTCACTCACACACTCTCACAGTATCTCTCTCTCTATTTCTCTCTCTATCATGTTTTTGTGTGTGTGTTTTCTCTCTCTCTCTCTCTTGTTTTCTCTCTCTCTCTGTCTCTCTATCCCCCTCTCATCTCTCTCGTTCTATTGTGTTATAGTTTGTTTTCTCTCTCTCTCTCTCTGTGCGGTTTCTCTCTCTCTCTGTTTTTTTTATCTCTCTCTCTCTCCCTCTCTCTTTCTCTCTATGTTTTTTTATGTTGTTGTTTCTCTCTCTCTCTCTCTCTCTCGCTCTCTCTCCCTCTCTCTCTCTCTCTCTCCCTCTCTCTCTCTCTATCTCTATCTCTCCTCTTTTTTTGTTTCCCTCTCTCTCTCTCACCCCCTGGGCAACTCGGCGGCTGTCCAGCGACGCTGCCCGCGCTCGGCCTCGGAGGGCCATCGGAGGCAAAAAGGCGAGAACGCAAAGCGCGTTGGAAACCGGCGGGGCTTGCACGACGCTGCCTCCCTTTGCGTTGGCGGGGGGGCCATTGGGGCCCTTTGGCCAGGTAGGGGCGCCCGCGGGGGCCGCCCTGGGCGAGCTTGCGCCAGCTGGAGCCACGGCGGAGACAGAGCGCCACCCACAAGGGGAGGCGTTCGCCCACGCAGGGGCTGAATGGGGGTCGGAAGAGGATGCGGCCCAGGCCGCATGCCCCCAGAGGGCTGGTGGGATTGGCTGAATCAGATGGCCCAATTGGCAGATCCCCCATCTCGCCTGAACCATTGGACTTTTCCGCTCGATGGCCCGAGGCGCGGCGCAATCCCATCCGCGGCAGCGAGCTTTTCCGCTCGATGGCCGAAGGCGCAACGCATCGTCGGCTGAGACTGCAGTCCGCGCTGCGCGCTGGCGGGGCATCGCTGGATGGGCCGCGTTACGCCGCCGCGAACGCCGCCGCGAAACTCGGTTGCAAGTCTGGCGGGGGCAAGACGCATCGCAGTTAAAACCGCGCCTTGTTCGAGAGGACGGGGTTCGGCGTCGATCTGCGCTTGAAGGATTGCGAACCATGGCGGCGGGGGGCTTGCCGGCCGGCGCTCGCGCCCCAGGAGATGGCAGCTGCTCCCGGCGACTTGCAGAAGTGCCTTTCGGATGCCCCCTCGAAAAACCCGTCCTCGATTGACGGGCCTCGGGGCCAGGCCGCAGGCCCAAGCGAGCGCGCGGTTGGCGACCAGGAAAACCGGAACACTCAAACGGAAACAGTGGTGGAGTCTTTCAACGTTTAGAGCTTGGGCAAACAGCTTGAGCCACGAGACAACCTGGATGGCCATCGCTGCAATTCGGGGCCGCATCGCCAGCCGCGCTGGTCCAAATTGTTCGCATTTCTTCCGCGTGAGATTTTGCTTGGCCCCTTGTCTTTCAGAGACGCTGGCGCGGTTTTGAATGTGCTCGGCCAAACGAGAATGGCGCCCGCAACTGCGAAAGGTGTCTCAACGGGCCTCGATGGCCACAGGATGACGTTCGATTGGACAGGCGCCAGTACCCACAAGCCATGAATTTGTTTTGCGACAGCTGTTGGAAGAAGAATTCGGTCCTCATTCCAAGGTGCTATGATACATATTGTTCCGATGTCTCGAAGTTTGGGTTGCACGATCGCGATGACATGGTTGGAAATATGGTTGTCGCTTTGGCAGCGAAGGCGAGACGCGACGCGGGGGCCGTGGGCGTTGGGGATTTCAGAGAGCTCGTTCAGGGCGTTGGCTTGAATGAAAAACCGCCGGGGCTTATAGCAGATGAGACCTTGTGCGGCGTACTCGACGTGGCAGACAATATCCGCGTAGATTGGGTGCTTCATGTTTTGCAACATGGCGCAATTTCTTGGGTGTACTGCTTGCGCGAGGGCGTGCGAGGGCGCGCTGGGCATCGAGATCTCGGTGTGGAGTGTGTTGGCGAAGGCTGCCTGGACATTCCCCTCCCCGGTGGGCGTCAAAATTGCCCGACTCCACGATGCATTTCGGCCACGTCCGAGGATGAATCGAAGATTCGATGCAAGGCAGGCGATTACATATCCCTGTCTGTTATCATGCGGCATGCTGTCGAACGCGGGCTGCTCGGCACCCCTGGCCTTGAGAAGGGAAACGAGCTCTTCAGCGCCGCATGTGCTGTATTGGACCTCGCTCTCGAAGCTAAGAAGACCCCAGAGTCTCTCTTGATGAGCTGAAGGCCGCTCTTCGCATATACATGGGAGAACACGCAGCCGCGTTCGGGCAACGACACTTGATCCAAAAAACCACGCCATGCTGCGCAGTCCAGATCAAATTTGGAAGGGCAAACTTGTTGTCGACATGCTCCTTGTTGAGTGCCTGAATGTTTGCGCGCAGCTGTCCGCAGAGAACAGCGTCAGGAATACAGAGCGGTACGAATATTCTGTCCTTTCAAACTTCCTGACGAAGCACCATATCTTTTGACCGATGGTACATAATCCCTCCGCGAGGGCCTCCGCGGGTCTAGAAAGGCTTCACCAGGCGATTCGAATGTGCAGCTGGGTCATGGCGTTTGGGCGGATGGTCGCGAGTTGCACGTTCACAACGCGGTTTTGTTCGGGGATGGTGCTGGCCTGGTGTCGGCCTGCGTCTGTGAACGTCGAAACTTGCACGTCGTCGTTAGAAAATGGCGCCCGTTGGCAGGCGCACCCGCTCAAGCAGATGGTTCTCGCTTTCACCAGAGCTGATTGCAATTAGCTCGCGCGATGCGCAGGCGGCCCACGCGTGGCGCGGCGATGGAGACGTCTACGTGGTGCTTGTTAAATGCTGCCCAGCTTTGCCGCTTCTTACCCTTCTCATCCTTCTCCCCGCGGACGATGCCCATATCCAGCGCGCGCTGGTGCCGAACGACGCGTTAGGGGCGCGGGCCCTGTTTGCTTGGAAAACGAGAACGATGGGGGCGGATGAGGAGGAGAAGGAGGAGGAAGGAGGATGAGAAGGAGGAGGAAGAGGAGAAGGAGGAAGGAAGAGAGGGGCATTCGTTTCAGCGGTGGGTTAATGCTTGAGGTATTCGTTCCAATGGAGGCGCAGCTTAAGGGGGGCTATCGCATGTTAGCGCCCCCCTCCCACATGTAGAAAGCGGCGCCTCCGCTGAACATCGTGGTGGTTACATGCAGCGTCCCATAAGATACGTGTTACATACATTAAGTAGTAACTGCGAAAAGTGTCGGCAGCTCGATCAGTTACATGTCGCCGAAGTCTAGAGAGATACCCCAGACGTGCACTTGGATACTTGGGCCACCTGCGAGTACGCTATCCAACGCATACGACTACGATCCTTTCAGCGATTACAACATGACCTGATATTGTACAACACTACCTGATCAACCTTTGGGCGAGTACTCCAGATTTCGCAATAAAAGGGAGGGGGTCTCAACCCTCCCAGACGAGAAGTTTTAGACCCCCCCCCGTGGGATAACCCTCCAAAACATCGTCCCCAGACCCCCCCGGGCCCTCCAAGATAGCCTGGAAGAGACCCTCCCCGAAATGAGACCCCCTCCCTTTTATTGCGAAATCTGGCGGGGTCGGCGGGGTCGGAGTGGCCGTGTCCGGGCATGTGGCATCAGCTCCCATACTGCCCCCAGAATTCGCAGGCTGGGAGCACCGGCTGGTTGCTCGCAAGCTCAACGTGGGGCTGCCGCAGGGCTTGGTCGTCGTATCCGTGTACGGCCGGACCAAGGTGGGCATCGCTGGCAACTTTGATTTGCTGGAGGTCATTGCGGCATTTGTCCTCCGGCTGCCACGCCCATGGGTTGTGGCAGGTGACTGGAATTTCACGCCCTACGATTTGGAAGAGTCCGGCTTACTGTCACGGCTGCACGGCGTCGTGGCGGCGCCAGCCCTGCCCACGTGCACAGCGCCTCACCAGGACGACGCTGACGGCAGCAGCGACGATCAGGACGCCGACGAGGACGAGGCGGTGGACCACGACGACGGCATCGGAGGCAGGGTCCTTGATTTCTTCGTGGTGAGCGAGTCCCTCGCAGCGTGTGCTGGGCGCGTGGACGTGCTGCACGAGGCGCCGCTTGGGCCGCACTCGCCGGTGTTCTTGCGGCTGGAGGGGGTCGCTGCCACGCGGCTTGTCGAGCGACCCCGGCGCTTCCAGTCCTTCCCGATCGGGCGCCCTATTGGGCCGCAGCCGCAGGAAGACCCAATCAGATGGTCGTGGGACGCCGGCGGCAGTGCGGGTGCAGCCAGCGCGGGCTCCATGATTACGGAGTGTATCGGCGCCGGTGGCCGCGGGCCAGCTCGGCAAGCGAGGTCGTGAGCTCCTCGCACTCTGGCGGATGAAGCTCTTCGACATTGTAACCGCGATGCAGGTCCCGGAGGATGTACCTGGCAGCCCCCACCATCCGTGCAGCGTGCAGGCGCTGGGCGGCCTCATTGACTGCTTCGTCGAAGGTCGTCGCGGCGACGCTGC